TTGTTTTTTTAAAAAAAGCTTTGCCTTTCAAAATTTGTCTTGGAATATGTTTATAATTCTAAAGGGATTACTAGTATGAGGAATAAAGCTTAATGATAGTCCTGCAGCTGGAAATAATTGTGCTCTGTGTATACAGGGTTCTAAAATGCTTAGCATCTATTTGTCTTCATCAAGTAGATGGCTGAATATTAAAGGCTTCATATTGCAGCCAGCAAAACTATTACATGCATTTTTCAGGATTTTGCGTAGTCACAGGTACCATGTAGGTACCTGTGAATGCCTGGAAGGAGAGTTAGTTAGTTTTAAATGCTTTTTTGGTGAGTTCCAGTTCTGCTGTTAACTCGGATTTTGTTTGAAATAAAATCCTGGAGCAGAGGTGAGCTGGTACTTGCTCTGTTTGCCTCTTGGGCAGCCCAGCTGATGCATGGTGTGGTCAGAGCCTGGTGTCTCCTTTCAGCCCTGCATGTATCCATCCCCATCTAGCTGCTGAAATTTCTCTCTGCTTTTTCCTACTACTACAAATACCTTAAAGTCTTTTGTGCTTGAGGCACAGGGTCAAACCATCAAATGGATGGGGGATGTTGTCTTGAAGCGCTTCGCTTCAAAGGAAGATCTGTAGGATTCAAGCCTTGGAGGGATGTGCTGAAGCTTAGAAAGTGCTTCAGGCTCAGGTGTTTATTCATATCTGCAGAGTGGCTACTTGGAGCCTGAAGCCTTAATTCTCTTCTAAGGATAAGTCAGAATCTCACGTAGGGGCTTCTGTGATTTTCTTTCTCAGTCCATAGTGCTCAGCAATGCAGATTCAGGGGGAGGGAAAGAAAATACCCATAGAAATGTTTCCAGACGTGGAAGTCCTCCTTCCATCTCCTGTCAACTTTTAGAATGAAATTCAGTTAGTTGTTGGCCAAGAACAAAACTTCCTGCCAAACTTTGTCTTGCTAAATAAAAATGTTAGGATGCTTTTTTCAAAGAAATAAAGTCTATGTTTTGTTGTAAGTTCACCTACTTTTCCCCTAGGCAGACTGATAAATTGTCATATTTAGCGATAAAAGCAAATGCAGCCTCACTACCATACTTAATGTCCCCCAAGACATGGTCCAAGCAGAGTGTCAATAGGTTTGGAAAAGTCAGGTTTCCTAAGAAAGGGTCCTCTGAGCTCTTTTTTTGAATTAGAGATGAGCAGAATGGTGTTTCTGTGTGTCCAGGGCACTCATTTTAAATAAATTAAAAAAAAAATTCTTATGTTGTTCAGTCACAGATACATTTTACCATTGTGCTGCTTTCTTCCTTTGACCAAGATCACAGAGGCTGGCTTTTATGAATCTCAGACTTGACTTCATTTTCTTTTCCAAGGGGGATGTATTGTGGGATGTAACTGAAGGCAAATGACTGTGATACTGTGACTGGCAGGGAAATAAGATTGAAAGTTAAACAGTGACTATGTCTATTTTTTAAATTGCTTCAGTTCAAAAGAATTGGAATATACCTATGGGATATGATAAAAGGGTGTATGTGCAGATGTTTGGGTTTTTTTCCCTTTGTTGCCTCTGACCAGCTCAGGAGCAGAAGCTTAATGTCACTGATCTTACCAAAATTTGATCTTTCAAGTGGGAACTAGAGCTTGGTGATTTAAAAAAAAACACCACACATATAAAATTACTGGGAATTCTAGTGTTCCTAGCGCAGGCCTAACCAGAAGGAAGAGTCATCTAGATCTAATTAAATTGTATCTCCTACTCCAAATCCCAATTTGCCACCAAGCCTAAGAAATAACCTTCTGGAGGGAAGCGGCGCTGTACAGGAGGTAGAAAAATGAAAACAGGTATGTCTGCTCTCTGTTGAAATCAGTAGCATCTGGATAGGAAAAGATTATTTCTAAATTGCGCTATAATAGAATTTTATAGTTGCCAACAGTGATCTGTTATGACTGGTTTTATGCAAACGGAGGCTGTACAGCAGGCTGTAGTCTGAAGACCCTAAACACTCAGAAGTTTGGGTGAAGGGCAGGTTGGAGACGGGCTGTTCAGTCCCACAAAAAATTGTATTCGGGAGCTGAGGGGGGAGCCGTTCTCCCCTTGGTACCTGCCTGCTGCCTTACCTACAGATCTGCCTCTTTATTTCTGAACAGAGTTATTTCCAGTGGATGGGATTTCAAGCAGCTGGTCTTCCAGCAGAAAGGAGTTATTTTTCCTGCACTTGGGAGAACAAGTTGTAGGTTTGAGCTGGGTAAGGGTGGAAGATAGATCTGCCAGTTCATCTGCTTGCTTTCAAATGGGGTCCCCAGGGGTTGATCTCTGGGGTGGCCCAGTTGGACTTGGTGGCACACGAGTTGATGGCAGTGGCACAGTGGTGGATGGTGTGCTCTGCTGAAGCATCAATTCCTGAGCCATTGCTTGGGATGATGATTGAATCCTGGCACTCAACTGTTGGATAATCTGCTTGCAGGATCAATTAACTCCCTGAAAGAAAAGTCTGTTCTGACTGAACTCCCCA